AATTTCACATTTCATTCACAGTCTGCCTGGTTATTTACCAGTTTGGGATGTTTGGATGTTTCTTTTTTCTCTCCCTCTTTTTGTGTTTGGCTATAACATAACTCCTCAAGTTGCTGGATCACTGACTCATAGTATATATGTGTATATATATATATATTATTTTTTTTTAACTAAAAAAACAACACTAAAGTCCCGGGCCTGCTGAAGTGGACAGTTGAGCTGTGCAGCAATTCCAAATCTTTCTTACGTCTTCAAGTTTTCTGACACACACAATCATGACACCCGCGTTCAGGAGCTAAGTTGTACAACCAACTGATGGGTATGGTTATGAAAGAATAAAAAGATAAAATTGTGAAATATCAGTTAACAGTTTCCTCATAGCTCCAACAAAAGTTAGCAGCATGCCATATGACAGTCATGAGTGTTAGGATGTCCTTGTCCCTATGTTCTCATAGGGACATGGGCATCACCCTTGTCATAGGGACAAGAAATTCCCTTTCAGTTTCTAAAAACATGTATGTTTTTGAGGTAAAATATAAAATATCCTAAGTGAGGCTTGCCTTTGGGGGGGGGGGGACAAAAACAAGGACTTTGCTTTTGTTTATTCTCTCCATAATTTTTTTAAAACCTTCACCTGAGATGTTTATTGATTTTAGAGAAAGAGGAAGGGAACGCTGCTCCAACTGTGGTCCAAGGACAGCGATAGGAAAAGAAATTCAAAGTAGGTATTTAGAAACTTGTAGCAATTTGCAAAAGTTTTTTTAAAATATATTTTTATTGATTTCAGAGAGGAAGAGAGAGGGAGAGAAATGTCAATGATGAGATAATCATGGATCAGCTGCCTCCTGCACGCCCCCTACTAGGGATCAAGCCAGCAACCTGGGCATGTGCCCTGACTGGAAAGGAACCTAGGACCCTTCAGTCCACAGGCTGATGCTCTATCCACAGAGCCAAACCGGCTAAGGCACAAAAGTTTGTTAAATCTAATAATGAAAAGGTCTATTTTAAAAAATATTTTCTTATTGATTTTTAGAGAGTGAGGAAAGGAGAGGGATAGAGAGATAGAAACATCAATGAGAGAAAACAATTGGCTGCCTCTTGCATGTTGAGAATCCTGGACATGTGACCTCTCCCTTCCTCTCTCTCAAATCAATCTATATCTATATCTATCTATCTATC